TCGTCATGGCTTCTTCCTTGGTCGAGAAAGCCGCCGCTGCCGAGGCTCCTGCCCCCAGCCCCACCTCCGGCGCCACAACGCTCGCTGCGCCTGCTGCCGTCCTTGCCATGCTGTCGGCCCTCCTCTTTGGATACTTCCTCTGCTGAGCGGCATGTTGCCTCATATTCTTCGTCGTGATGTTGTATTTGTTGTTCTCATCTGTCATCTCTGGTGAGAGAAATATATTCGTACCGATGTCTGTGGTCATGCTTGGTGATTGATCCTGTGAGCTATTTTTTGTGGTTAGAAGTAGATGAAATAAGATGTGGTATTATTGCCTTGGCATATTATTTGCTTCCATCTACTCTTGTCATGTTTTGTTACTGGTCTTCCCTTTCTCCAATCTGAACTCGAAGCAATCATGCAGAGAAGACTATGTCTCTAATCTTGTTGATGAATCCAACATTGTGGAGGCATTTTGGCTGCAGAGAAAAAAGAGCAAATGCCATAGCATTGTGATGTAGTTTATGTTTTGTTTGACACAGTGGAAGCCATTCAAGAAATTGGTGTTTGTTTGTGTGTGTGTCCATTATAAAGTGGTTTATACTTGAAAAGTGGAATGGGAATGCACAAAGTCTCTCTCTCTCTCTCTCTCTCTCTCTCTCTCTCTCTTTCTCACACACACACACACACATTATGGTTCATGGATGGAATCATCCAAGTACAACATTCATTATTGATCCAGTGGATCAAAACATGGGAATGCTGATCCCATGTGCATATCTTACAAGGTGATGGGGTCTGATCAAGTGGAGGTTTGATCGAAATTGGGACTCTCCAACTAATTGGGTTGGGGAATGGGCTCTCTGGTCCAATGATATTGGGCCATCTTAACGAGCCCAGCTTGTATATATGTAGCCTAACTAAACCCTAACCTTCTCCGCCGCCTCCGACTCCGTGACTTCCACCTCTCTCCGTCTGTGTATAAAGTGTTCGATGGTTTGCCTCTGCTAGTAGCCGTCTGCGTATAATGTGTTCGATGGTTTGTCTCTGCTAGTAGCCGTCTAGTGTGAAGCCTCTAGCGCGATGCTGATCTCCGCCTGCCTTGCTCAACCGCCGTCTCTCTCTCTCTCTCTCTCTCTCTCTCTCTCTCTCTCTCTCTGTCTCTCTCTCTCTCTCTCTCTCTCTCTCTCTCTCTCTCTCTCTCTCTCTCTCTCTGTTTGTTTTCGTGTTTTAGGTGCTCGATGATTTGCCTCTTTGAGTAGCCGTATGGAGGCGAAAGCCCTTGTACCGTCCGGCTTAGTTAGGGGGCGCACAGAGATGGGTTTGCGCTCTACTACAAACCTTCTCAGGCCTTTTGAGGGGACTCCATCACTGATCTCCATGTGGTGTCCCCCAAGCTGCCTTGGACAAGGTCCTCCCTTCCTTTTCTTGCTATCTCGTATCCGTCCTTCGATCTAAATGCCGTCTTTTTCTTTTTATTGTCTTGTCCGTCTCTGAATCTTTACAATCATGATGATTAATCGAGAATAGCCTCTTGAATAACCGGATGCAGGATGAAACAGCCATCTGCATACGGTTCAGACGGAGGCGCAAAGCGACATGAATCCTTTTGAGGGAAAGGAGCTCATTTCTCTCGGTAGTTCCTTTCTTAGATGGCTTCTGATATATATTATATTATATTATATCTATATAAATGTATATATAATTTATTTATTTATTTACTGATAGTATTTTTAGTTTTCCTTTTGTGTTGATTGAAATCATTAAACTGGTTTTAGATGTGAATTTTTTCTTCTATTCCATTTTGTTTTCTTCCATTCCATGATCAATTCAATTAATTGCTTATTTATTATGTTGATGGCTACATGAAAAATGGCTTGGCATTTGTAGGTGCAAGGTAATGTTTTTGCTGTTCTTAATGTAAGTATATTCTTGATGTAATATGTATACATTAATAATAGGTTGATGAGGTCTCCAATGAGAGTAATAATAATAATAATAATAATGTATCGTTTGTTTCTTAATTCACATGTCGATGTTTGATTGCATTCCTTATTAAATGGCCCAACCACGTCTCCTTTGTCTTTGTGGACCTTCCAACCTTCTCTTCTCCTTTCAAGTGCCAACCTTCTCTTCTCATCGTCTTTGTCGTAAGACAAAACAAGCTCTGTTAACTTTAGCCATTAAATTGTATATATTAGCACCACACTTGCTCCTACTACTCATCTCCCACAATCCATGTACAAATAAGTAGGGACTTTATGCGTTTAGTGATGCTGATGATAACATGCAGTTGATCGAGCACTATTGATTGTACTGGCCTTCGACTGAGACCTGTGCCTTGGTGGTGGGAGATGACAGTGTATCGTTTAGCCTTTTTGCCTTCATCCTCTGCGATCAACAGTAGAAGCTCAAAGCCATTAAGAAACTAACATGTTGGAAGTGAGAAGAACAGAGAGATATTTTTGCTACTGAATTAAAATTAATGGATATTAATGGAAAATCAATGAACACTACCTTATCATCCGCATGGATACCGAGCTGGATCCTCTGCTTCTGTTGCGGTCGGCCGCCAATGATGAAGATGCAGATGGTCGCAGCTGCTACGCAGCAGAAGGCTCCGATGCCTGTCAATCTCCAATTCCATAGTGTGAACCCAAAGCCATCCCCACAAGCCTTGCCTTTGATCTCAGACGCTGTTTGATCCTTCTCGTTCGCCATCGGAGCCCCCTCCTTGCCTTCTTCACCCAACTGATTCTGCTCTGGTTCCAAGCGAGGCGTGATGGCTTCCATGGCGTTGGAGGCCACCTTCATATCGACGAGTTCGTTCTCCTTCAGCTTCTTGAAGAAGACTTGACGTACCACTTCACGCTGGTTCGCTGATGTCACCGGTGGGACGACGCCGACGTCCTTGAATCCTTCGTCGGGAGCCTCGTCGTTTGGGTTGTCGCCTGCAGTTGGATCAGAGCTAAGTGGAGCTGCAACATCTCTGGAAGGGCTTGAGAAGTAGTTCGTATCCACGATGAGCTCCTTGAGCAGCACGTCTTTGGCACCGTCATGGCTGAAGCCCAGGAAGGCCTTGTTATCGGGGAGGAACTCCCACTCTTCCATGTCCAACTCCAGGCAAGATTTCTCCATTTGAGAGGGAGGAGGGGATTGCAATGCTAGGAAGCAGACCGGAAGAGGGCGTGTGATCTTGGACTGAGCATAGAATGATCACCTCTCCAGTGTGTTTGAGAGAGAGCCCGAGCTTATCCCTTTCTGCTAGTGATAAATGAGCTCCCTATCGGACCCACCTGTCAAGATCTTTCCCATGGATCGATTTCCAGCTTTCGTCGATGGCTTCTACCGATGAGACATGTATCGTAGCCTCACCACACCTGTCTCGTGCATGAGAAAGATAAATTTGCAGGTGATAGGCTGAGCGAGTCGCACGTCATTCTCTGTATTGCATTTCAGCCCTCATTCACAAGTTTCAAAAATCTAATACTGATTCTGTTCATCTTATCAAGTCAAAATGTTTGAGTTCAAACTAATAACAGTACAATTATTTTGCCTTCTTGTAAATCATTGTGGAATAAAATAAAATAACTACTAATCCTAAATCTTTGCAATATTATTTATTGTTTAATAGCTTCAGAGCCTATCCCCACCTGAATAATTTATTTGTCATCAAACAAACCAACGAAGCAAATGGACACATTCCATCTTCCAACCAGTGATGATTTCATACTTCTTTTGCTTTCTCCCAGAGGAGATTCTCATTTGGAAATTGGAGTCATGTGGGGTTTGCTTGAGCCTTGGGTTAGAATCAGTTCTGACGGAGATGGGAGATGGGATGTGGATAGATAAAGACTATCAAAAGCGAAAAGAAGACTGGGAAAGCAAGGTGGCCACTATTCAGGAAAGAAATATCTTTCCTTATTATATAAAATGATCAATGAGATATCCGAGTTAGTAAATTGTTATTATATAAAATGATCAATGAGATATCCTACATTGTTATTATATAAAATGATCAACGAGATATCCGAGTTAGTACATTGTTATTATATAAAATGATCAATAAGATATCCGAGTTAGTATATTGTTATTATATAAAATGATCAATGAGATATCCGAGTTAGTACATTGTTATTATATAAAATGATAGATCTCGTATTCGAGTCTCATGTGAAAATCATATATAATATTTAATATAATAAAAATAGATTTTATTTAAAAAATATTAGAGATCTTATATCAGATGCCAATCATTTCATTAACTTTTGTGCATTGTTATAGAGAAAACAATTCAATTAAAGACTGAATTGAATAGAAAACAGTTATACATCCATTCTTGTCCAATAAACCCAATTAATTTCCCTCTTACATCCTACGAAGGATCCAGCCTTCATTTCTGATGACTAGTTTTTGCAGTCCAATCAAGATAGAGATGCATAATTGGTTACATGAATTTGCTTACATGGATGTCATCAATTTTCTTTTGGTTAGACACTATAAAAACAATGCATACACTATGAATGACTAATCTTCTTAACATTCAATCTGTTCTTCGAGACCTTAAAAAGGCACCTCTGGATGATGAGAAACAACAGTACTGTTCCTTTTCCAGAATCTTGAGCCAGGAATAAATGTCAATCAATGCACAAACCGTAAAGATGGTTTTAGTACCGTAAAGATGGTTTTTGTTCTTTGGATATTTGATCTCTATGCAATCCATTTAAACAAAATGGGTTTCAGTACCCCTTAATCGAATTTAGGATAAAGTTTTAGATAAAAAAAAATCAGATTCCCAAGTCAAGTCCAAATTTGTACTCATGCAAATACCCCACCCAATTATTCGACAAGAATTCCTGAGTGGACGATAGACCCACGACTATCCAACCAGCTCAAATCATATTTATGTGCACAACGATCGGGCTTGAGACAAGTTCAAGATAGGAAATCAAGTACCCAAATTGTGTTCAAACTTAGGTTCAGGCACCTAAATTTCATGGATACCCAACCCGCTATCATATCTAATAAAAATATTTCATAGAATTAATAAAAGAGATACTGTATAAACGTATCCAATACACAAAGAGAGAGATGTAACACTCAAAATTTTACATGAGACCTTTCTTCCCATTACCCAATCTTCAAAAGAGGCACAGACAACATTTACATTGATGGAGAATAGCAAATGACACAGACTTCTGAGGTTACAAAAGCACCCACCTCTTTTTGGCTTTCTCCAAAGGACACAGGAAAAGAGTCATGAGTCACAAGGGGTTATTAGTCTTGAGGAGGAGGAAGAGGAGGGGGAGGAGGACTCACCTAGTGAGACAGAGGTTAGGGTAGAAGCCCAGGCACGAGCATTGTTTGCACCCTTCCTCAAATTCATAGTCTTATTACCCAGCTTAACCTTGTTCCACAGTTTATTGACGTCAATTCCATGCAGCACTCTTACCAACAACTGACTTGGTTCACAAAGGATGGGCAGGTTGAGATGCCAGCCATGTGAGACCCAGAGAGCCTTGAGATGGGAGTAAACAACAGGTAAGACAGACAGGACTAGCTTCAGGCAGATGAAAAGCACTCCAAGCACCAGATATGGCTCCGTGGTTATCAACTCCCTTAGAGATTCCACCTGATGCATTAGGGATCTCACATTTCCTAAATTAGCAGGCTGGTCGACGACCAAGCGTTCAACTGGATCGAAACCTGTGCATAACAAGAAAATTATGATGTGAAAAGGGACCCAAAGATGGTGCTTGGTACAATTTTTTTCTTCTACAATCAATCATGTGATACAGACGAGCATACACTAGTACGACCAGAAGTAACTATAAGACATGATGATCTCTTTGAATGGATATTCTCTCCCACTAAACAGCTAGCATATCTTTCTATCTCAAAGTAAACCAGAAGGACAATCAATCTCATGACAGAAACTGGACCTTAACACAACCTAAACAAATCCTTCGGGATTAACCACTTGATCTTGCATCTCATATGCCTAGAAGGTTTCAGCAAAGATCGAAGAGAAACATCAAGATGTGCAACACTCAGGTAGAAAGAAAATGATTGCAAGAAAAGCTAGTGTCAACAAACCTGTAGTTTTCTTGTAAAATTGGATGAGAGTATCGATATCCTTGGGACCACGGTATCGAATAGTTGCTGTCTGGTTGGAGAGAACAATAGCTGGAAAGCTGTGAATACCATATCTCGAGAGAATACTGCAATGTGTGAGAGCAGAAACCAACCAGAAATAGAATAGTCAAACACTAAAAAGGAATAAGCAATATCTGGATGCAGCAAACTGACATATATGAGTATAATGGATACCTTGGCATTGTAGAAGATTCATCCGCTAACAAGTGCTTTATTTGGGGAAACATGGAACTAAGAACATTAAAAGTAGGACGAATATTGTCCGAGAATGGACACCATGAAGCATAGAACAGTACAGAGTAATAACCTTTACTCTCACCATGAATCAACTCTCTGTCAAGAGACTCCCCATCCACCTTAAAGAACAAAAGGGACAACATCAGATCAATTTATGCTCCAAATAAACAACAAAGGTGCAAAAGACGATAGCAGATTTAATAGTTAAGTGTTTTTCTTTTTGGGTATAATAAAATAATCTCATGACTCAGAGAGACCACCAGAGAACCATGAAAATACAGACAAGAATGCAATATGAATCAAAGTGTACGTCATTACAAGAAACTGAAATATTGGGGAAAAGAGAACAGATGACAAAGTGAAATACATTTATAGAAATAACTCTGTTAGCATATCATGAGCTTTATTACAGATAACAAGCATACTATTAGCTGCAAAAACTGGCATGCATAAGTGTAGGAGCATACTTGAACCTTAGGGAACCAATTATGAGCATCCTTTATTTCAAGATAAAATGCTCTGAGATTGACAGAATCTTACACCAAACAAGAAATAATATGCAAAAAAATCCCTTCATCCATATTGTGAACTTGTACCATAAAATGTTATGTATATCACAAAAACTAATTTGTAACAGAATCTTACACCAAACAAGAAATAATATGCAAAAAAATCCCTTCATCCATATTGTGAACTTGTACCATAAAATGTTATGTATATCACAAAAACTAATTTGTAACAGAATCTTACACCAAACAAGAAATAATATGCAAAAAAATCCCTTCATCCAGATTGTGAATTTGTATCATAAAATGTTATGTATATCACAAAATCCCTTCATCCATATTGTAAATTTGTACCATAAAATGTTATGTACATCACAAAAACTAATGTTGACAAATTATCTAGTCAAAAAAGAAAGATGACCAATTATACCTCCTAAAAAAGTATGAAGAATATAACGGTATCGCACTTTATTATGTTAACTTAAAAGAAAGACACTTTAATGAATCAACAATATATTTGACATCCATGGTTTGCCATGTCGACCTATAGCGGGCGGTATGGGCAATATGTACCAGTTCAACCAGGGATCGATACGTGAACCGTCCTGTACCAGGTGGACCATAACAGGGGACCCCGTATCACTCGATACAGCATCTGTACCAGTCGTAACGATCAAATCCGATCGTTACTGACCTGTACCGATCAGTAACAATCGAATTTCAATCGATACCGATTAATGGTTGGGATTTGTTGAATTTAAATAGTCCATTTGATCGTTTAAACTAGATTTAGGGTTTTTAAACCCTTTCTACCTCCTCGTTCTCTCCCCTTTCACCCTCTCTAACTCATCTACTCTATCAATCACTTTCTACTCACGTATTTCTCTCAGTCTCCCATTTGCACTCTCTTGAACTCCACAAAGCTACGATTCTTAGACTAAATCAAACTTAGAAAGCTAATTAGGGAGGATTAACACCTATATACCACTATTCTTTCCTAATTTAGATTATTTTTGCTAAAATTATACTAAATTTATATTTATTTTCAACTTAAAAACACTAATCTAACATTTCTTTATTTTTCAAAAAATTTTGAAGTCATTTTTTACCATTTTTCTGTGCCATTGGTATGCCCCACCATACCAACACACGGTAGGTCATTATGGAGCGACACATACCATATCACCATCCTACTGGTAAGGCAAACCCTACTGACATCTACTCAGCACATATCACATGAATATGTGTATCCATGATATATTTGATACAGACACAGATTTGTTTTAATTTGTTGGAGAAACTGAAATTTATATCCTACTCATTTTTTTTTATAAAGTAAAACCAAAAAATTTGTGTTAAAAGAAACTTCTTCATATACAGTGTTATTATAGATGTAAAGGTTTGACCAGGCAAGAGGTGCACCGAGACTGATTGTAATAAGCCTCAACTCAATTGATATTCATGACTTCAATTAGGTGCACTCCTACGGGTCCTTTAAAATGGTCAAGTGCCTAAATTGCTTTATAACAATAAGGATTTTGTCTTTATTGCTGACAAATTGCTAAGTGTGTATGACTAATTGTTGCTAAAACTTTATCATTTCTGCACAATCTCATTGTCAATGTTTGATATTATACTTATTTTATATTTTATATTTCACGACCATGGAGTTCAATTTTTTAAATCTAAAATGTCTAGAAACTGAATAAGTATATGTGGTATGGAGACCTGACATATATGAGTATTGGCATTATAACTAATAATACTTTGATGTGTGAGAGTTTGTTATTGTCGAGGCATTCTACCTAGAAAGTTCCTCTTTTCTATCGCTTATGCAAGACGTTGAAACCACAACCTTTCTGTAAATGCATCTTGAAATTAACACAAAATTTGACTATCTAACCCATCTTATAAGTAAAAATTTATATTTCGATTATTTAGATATTACTAAATGGTAAGCGCATCTCATTTTAAATTCAATTCACCTTTCAAGGTTCTTTCTAGCAAACTCTCATTTCAGGATAACATTGCTTCAATATGGGCATGCACTCTGCCTTGAACCTAGGCTCCATTAGATGAACAAAAAATTATTTATTGCATACTCCATCAAGTGGAACTCCACCTTAATTAGAAAGAAATAACTCAAAGATTGTGCCTCCTGAGAGAATTAAATATATGACAAAACTGCCATCAGATCGTCTACAATCCCTATTTAGGTTCAAAATTTTAGAGTTTAGGGTTCAAAAATTTACGTCTGTCAAATAGGTCATCATCAACATCTTTCATCCAAGAAGAAAAAAAAAGTCTCTTCATTTAATGAACATAAACATGACCATTGGTCTTCTCCTTAAAACCAGCAGTTGGATTTCTAGGTCCTACCTGGTATTATTCTATGCTTTTCTAAAGACTTGAACATATGCACCTCATAAGCTACCTCTTCTGTTTCCTAAATTCTTTAACACAAATTAACCAACTCTTTTCACCAAATCCATTCTAGACAGTAAATGTACAAACCAGACTTTCAATTGATGCTCACACACTCCTTATGTAGCTTGATGACATTTCTTATTCTCTTGAAAGAAAACGATATCCAATGTGAACTATACTCCCAAGCAGTGATTTAAAAAGCGCTAGGCGCCAAAAGGCGCCAATATCCAAAAACGCCCGAGGCGCTATGCGCTCGCCCGAGCGAAGCGAGACGCTAAAATATAAAAATATATAATATAATTAATAAATATAATTATTTAAATAAAAAATATGCTATTAAATTAAGAAAATATGGTACAAAATCACAATGTCACATTAATAAAAAATCTCAAAAATTAAAACAATAAAATTTTACATCAAATCTATTGAGTTGCTCTATACACTTGTCATTTATTCTGAAACCTAACAATAATTTTAAATAGATAAAAATTAATAATATTAAAATCAAAATCATATATTATTAATCTAATAAATAAAAATACTATTATTAGTATACAGTTAGCAGTATACTGTTAATATACTGTTAACAGTATAGTGAGAAGAGTGTGAGAAGACCGAGGCTGCTAAGGCAACGGCAGCGGTAGCAGGTGACAGCGGTAGCAGGAGCGATAGCGGGAGTGGGAGCGGGAGCGACGAGCGACAGTGACAAGCGATTATGGCAGCGGCGAGCAGTTAGCGAGCAGCGATTGTGGCAACGACGAGTAGCGACAATAGCGACGAGCAGCGACAGCTGAGAAGAAATCTCGGCGGCAAAATCACGAGTGTTAGAGTTGGGGAAGTCAGAGAAATCGCGAGAGGGAGCCTGATATCGGTGATTTAGTTGGTTCGATTGAACCAACTAAAGCACCGGAGACCAACCAGACCTAAAATCTGGTTCGGTCGCCCGGTTTAACCCAAGCGCTCGCCCGAAGCACCTAGCGCCTGGGCTCGAGTGAGTGCCGAGGCGGCGCGCTTCAAAGCAAGACGCTTGGGCCTCGCCTCGCCTCACCCGAGCGCCTATTGTAATCACTGCTCCCAAGTAAGAAGCTTAGAAAGAATTTTGTTTATTCCAACAAGCATATGCAACTAAATGATTTTTAAAATTTTGTAGAAGTCTTTGTACCTTATATCTTCAAATGAAAACGAAGCATACATGTCTATGGATTTAAGAAACCAGTCATTTGAAAAGATTTTTTTAATACATGATTATATAAACATGATTAATTGCCAGGTATGCCTATAGCACTGATATTCTTGTTTCATGTTACGTTGCTTATAACAAGTTGTTCATCACTTGTCATTCTAACCATCCCATCTTATTAGTATTATAAACAAAGCCAAAAAGTGAGTAATACCTTTTAACGTGAGGTTCAAAATTAATTTCCTTTAGGCTGAACCTCAGGATTTAAACAACCACAGTCAAACTGCATTTTCTTGGAGGGTAAAGAACAAACAAATTGAAGAACATACAATAATAACCTAACAGACAGTTTAACTCATCTACAACCTTTAATCAAAATTTGATACAATAAATTAGAATGAAATTTCAGAATAGTGGCATGTCATAAATTGTTAATTATCATTTCTTTAAATAGACAATCAACTAGTTAGTTGAGTCAAAAAATTGCTTAGAATGGTCTTGTATGGAGAAGAAATGAGATTATCAAGGAGTGAGACAGCAGCAATATGTTCAAACCAAGGTATGCAATTTAGAATAATACCGCCCAGTACGAGCGGTACATACCGGTTCATCAGCTTAACTGTACACGAACCGCCCTGTCACGAACGGTCGTCGTGCACCCGCAATAACTCCGTTCAACGAATCGTTCATCGCTCTCATCTACATGTACAGTTGCTTGGCAGCATGTTTTGTCTTGGTTTTGAGTCATTTTGCTTGTAAAAATGTAAGTTCGAACAAGTTGCAGCGCTACAGTGCGATCGCTCACCGAACCGAGCAAAACAGCCCCAAAATAGCTCCGTTTTCGCGTGCCACGGGTTGATTTCTGCAGCCCGCTATTGCACGCGAAACGTCAACCATCTCAGCACCCTAGAACCACCCGAGTGGCACAGGGCTGGATGGGGCTTCGGTATAGTGCCGGGAGTTGAACACTCTTTCGCAAGTTCGCACGTTACCTTGACGGGAACTT